CTATCTATCTATCTATCTATCTATCTATCTATCTATCTATCTATCTATCTTTGTATCTGGAACCCTTCTGGCTACAGTTTTGAGCACACCTTTTGTCTAGAATGAGAAAGCAATGCTATACTTGTGAAGCTAAATGAAATCCAAGGTTGTGTATGATTCCTTTGGCTAATCAAAACAGCTGGGTGAAGGAGTCAAGGGTGCCTTGGAAGAGATCTCGGGAACTTTCCGGCATGCTGACTTTGTCTTGTATCCACCGTTTCTCTCTTGCTGCTGGGCCAGTGGTACTGGAATCTTAACACTTGAAATTTACTTCTTCATTTTCATCAGAATTATGGCTTCTCGGGTTATACCCTGCATCGATGGGTCACCTCCCGCAGTATGGTTTAACTTTAAAATTCACAGAGAGATCAAGGCAGTTCACGACCACTGAGCCAGCAGTGCCGAAGATAACCGGAAGGTTCTTTAAACACAGAGGGAAAGAAGGAACTCACCTATGAGACCATATGAAAGAATGAAGTTCATGAGAAGAACAGAGGAACAAAGGCTAGGAAAGAACCATGTCTCTCTCACTCAGTGACCCAGCCAAACCCTAACACAAATGGGAGGAAGAAAAGAACCAAGTCTTAGCTAGATCAGTAAGGCCAGAGATAGAAGTAAAAGGGATCGAACAGAAAAGGAAGAGATAAAATTATCTCTGTTTTCAGATGATAAGATCCTATACTCTAAGAGGCGCTAATGATTCTAACAGCTAATTAGCTCTGGTAAGCACTTCCAGCACAGGATCAGGATACAAAAAACATTCAAAATTCAGTACCTTTCCTAGATAGGAAAATGAACTTTTAAGAATGTAATCAGAAAAAAAAAAAAAAGACTGCACTCACAACAGCTCACCAAAGAAACAAACCCAGGAAAATAAACACAGCCCAGGGCAGCAGCAAAACCGCATGATTGTCGTGAGAAACCCTCGCAGTCAATCCTGAGGACAGACACACAGTGTGAAGTGGAGAAACTGCCTTGTCTTTGTGTCTTCCCACCCCCCAGACGGATCATTTACTTTTTAGTTTTTCAGCACTGAGCATTTGTCATACCTGCTTGAAGTCAGTCACCTACAGAGGAGGGGAGTCCAGTGAAAAGAGATGAAGGGATTGAAGCCCAGGGGAGGCTGGCCTGGGGCCTGCACGGTCCAGAGCACAGGACTTTCTCCTCTGACATGGCTGCTTCTCACTGTCGCAGCTGCTCAACCTTTCTCTGGAGACGGAACCTGCCTCTTCCCTCCGAAACCCACACTCTGGCAGCCTTATTTATGCAGACTGTCATGGTAAAGTGCGGACAGATTGGGACACCACGTCCACGCTCTTTCAGAATGGATGGTGATGCACCCCAGTGAGAACTCATATTCGAGGGATATCCTGGTGGGCAAAACTCAAGAACACTACAAAACCGTCACCCTTGCCTTCCCTGCCTGAGAGCACCATAGAGCAACATGTGATACAAGGTACAGGAGCAAAGAGCGTCTTTCAGTCCGTAGATTTATGGGAAAGCCTCTTCTGAGCTGGAAAATCCTCACAGAGGAGCCACGGAAAAGTCAACTTATGGGACCAGTAATTTAAAGTCTCTAATAAGGCATCACTCCAGATGTGGATATGATCCAAACCAACTCCAGAGTCCAGGAAGCTAAGAAAAAGAAACTTCACTTTCTAGAATGGAATGTAGAAAGGAATACATTCTGAGCAGAACGGAAACTTAGCTCACAGAAACATGCTTTCTTTCCGAATAAGTAAATCAGAACCCACAGTGAGATAAAACAAAAAAATAAATAAATGCAGCCAAGGAAACCAAAGCCCCTCTAGAATAAAAACTCTAATGGAGAATAAAGTGGAAGACAACACCTGAGCATGGGGAGACATTTCATGCGCATGGATTAGCAGAATAAATGGAACAAAACAGCTGCACCTACAGATTTAATGCAGTCCCCACAAAACTCAAGTAATATTCTTCACGGAACTAGAAAAAGCAGTTCTAAAGTTCGTATGGAAACACACTTACATACCTATCCGCCCTCAAAGCAACCCTGATCATGGCAGACACTCTGGTTATCAGAAGACTGCTGGTTATGAATCTGTCATAATAGCTTTTACTAGGACACAGATAGTACTATTTTACTATCATATAAGCTTTCTGTTCTTAATTTGTTAAAGATTTTTATTGTAAGACATTTCTGAATTTTATCCAATACTTTTTATGAATCTATTGTGATAACATAATTTTTACCTTTCACTTTGCAGACGCTGTGTGTTAATACGTTTTTGATTTGTAAACCATTCTTGCATCTGCCTCCTCGGAATGAGATCATGGTGAACGATCTCTTTTTAGGAAAATCATTACACTCATCCATTTGCTTATTTGGTGTGTGAGTGTTTTGGCACAGTTATGGCACAGCATGTGTGCGGAGATCAGAAGACTGTAGAGCTGATTTTCTCTTTCTGCCATGTGAAGCCCATGGAGTAGACTTGACAGGTTTGGCAGCGAGCACCTTTACCTGCTGAGGTATAGTGGTGTGTGTGCGCGCGTGCATGCGAGCGAGAGAGAGATTTTCATGTGCTATTGAATATGATTTGCTGGTGTTTCGTGGAGAAGTTTTGCATTTATTCATCAAAGACACTGATCCACAGCTTTCTTTCTTCTTCCTTCCTGGCAATGTTAGGTTTTAGTAACAGGGCCATTCTGAGTTCCTAGAATGAATGTAGAAGGGCCCCTTACTTTATGATCCTTGGAATAACTGGAGAAAAATCCGCATTAATTCTTACTTAAAGGTTTCACAAAACTCAAGAGCAAATCCATCTGGTCCTAGGTTTTTCTTTCTTGGCAAGGATGCTTCTCTTTACCTGTATGGTGTTGGCTACAGTGGCTTCCATTTCTACTCTATTTCTGCGTTTCTAAGACAGGGTTTCTCTGTGCAGCCCCGGAGCTTTGTAGGTCAGGCTCAACTCTAATTTATTTGCATCTTTTCTTTTTTCCTCCTTAGTTAGTCTACCTAAAAGACTTAATTTTATTTAGCTTTTCAAAAACCCAATTCTTTAATGATCCTCTATGGCTTTTTTCTTTTAGTCTGTGTTACAGATCTGGTGTGAAATGACTCCAAAGGCTTTTGTGTTTCATATTTGGTCCCCAAATGGTGATCCTGTTTTGGAAGAGTATGGGTCCTAACAGGAGGAAATAAGTTAGTGGGGTGGGGGCAGACCCTGAGTGTTGTAAAATCGGCTTGCTGCCTGATCCACTGAGATGTGGATAACAAGTTACATCATCTGCTTCCACAGCTGAGGACAGAGCTGCCCACTGCCATGCCTACCCTGCCATCATGGATTGTAGCCTTAGAACTTTCTAGAGCTTTGGGATTTTATAGTTTATGTTTAAGACGTCATCTGTAATTGTGAGTTGCACTCCTAGAGGCACAGTTTGGCATGGTGGAACTGGGATTCCTAAAATGCCCCTCAAAGTTTCTACACTGTTCCTGAAGCTCACAGTTACCCCCTCTAGTACCCACTTGTGAAAACCATTGATCACAATATTTAGAGCCCTTTAACACTATCTCCCAAATCTATGTTTATTTTGGTCTGTTCCTATATTCCTAATTTTCTTAGCGATGGGTCCACATTTTTACAGCTGCTTCTCCCCAAGTCTAGGTGTTTATAACCACCACAATGTGTGTGTGTGTGTGTGTGTGTGCAGGTGAGCAAGTCCCACAGCACAGTATGGAGGTCAGAGAACAAGCACCGCAAGCTGGCTCTCCCCTGCCACCGTGTGGGATCTGGGGACTGAAATCAGGAAGTTCGGCCTGTGTGATGGTGACTCTACCCACTGACCCATCTTGCTGGTCCTTTGCCTTAGTTTTAAAAACAGGACTTATGCTTTACTAAATTAATTCAGGAACATATTTGTAATCTGGATATGGCAGCCACTGAGAACTTACTTTGGCAAAGCTCTGGGCTTGTTTTTTCTAACAGTGAGAATAAAGCTCATAAGAATAGGAATAGGTTCTATGCCGAGAATGTGTCCCAGAATGTTCTAAGATGATGGATACATTTTCTATTCCTGTTGTCCAGTCACAGCCACGTGTCACACAGAGTCACGTGGCACCTGAGGTAGAGCTGGCTTTGACTTTGTCACCGTGGCAGGCAGGATACCTCTTATGTTGTCTCCTAGGGTGTCTCTAGAGAGTTAAACTGAAGAAGGACTCGGCCCTAAGCCTGTGCTTAAGGGGAACCTTTCCCTGGGATTGATGGGATCCTGGAGTGAGTCAAACGGGGAGAGAGAAGGCTGAGCATCAGTATTTATCTCTGCATCCTGATTTAGATGCAGTCAAACCAGCTGCTCCATGCTCCGTCACTGTGAGCCAGGGCAGACCCTTTCTCTTCTAAGTTGCTTCTTACCAGGTAGGAGAAAAGTAAAGAATACAGACATAACAGAGCAATTGAGTTTTAAAATTTCTCTCACTTAGCTAACTTAAGGTTACACGGACATGTCTGAGCGGTAGTTGCAAGGTTACACGGACATGTCTGAGCGGTAGTTGCAATCAGGAACAGCACCACCCTAGAGCGGAGAGACAAGGAGTTGCTCAGCAGTGTTTTCTAGCTGAGCTCTTAAAGCCAGCAAGAAATTTGATTGTTACACTGTAGTTCTGAAGCTTCTTCTTTCGAGACAGGGTTTCTCTGTGTAGCCCTGGCTGTCCCAGAACTCACTCTGTAGACCAGGCTATCCTTGAACTCACACCTATCCTCCTGCGTGTTGGGATTAAAGGTTTGTGCCATCATCACCCTGATCCCTTAATGTTTCTTATACATTTTTTTAAAAAAATAACATCATTGCTAATAATAAGATAATGATGTTTTACTTCTTTGTCCTTAAACCTGAAGTCCAGGGACTGAGCACCTGAAATCAGGACCTGAGTGACCACGATTCCCCATGGAGGCCCTGTTGTCTCCTACCTTGCATTTTCCGTCCTTCGGCTGATGCACTGGTGTAGGTAGAGGTACTCCTGAGGCGCACTGGTGGACAAGGCTGGCTGGATGTGGCTTGACACGGGAGGCTCAAACGTGAACAGAGTGGGCTGGCTGGAGTGGGAAGGGGCGGAGGACTTTCTTTCTCGGAGCAGGTGCTGACTGGAGCCGCTGAACTCAGCTGGGGAGGAGCGGGGACCGTGGCTGGCTGAAGAGAGGTTTCTCAGGGAGTCTATGGAAAGAAGAGCGAGCTCTGTGAGTGAAAGAAGGAAGGGAGCAGGGTGGTGGTGGCACATGCCTTTAACCCAGCACTCGGGAGGCAGAGGCAGGCGGATCTCTGTGAGTTCGAGGCCAGCCTGGTCTACAGAGTGAGTTCCGGAAAACCAGAGCCACACAGAGAAACCCTGTCCCCAAAACAACCACAAAAACCTGAAGAAACAAATGAAGTAAATGAGTCAAGGCTTCTAAGACTGAGTCGTGTAAGGCATGGCAGGTTCCTGCTGTTACTACCCCCTGACTCAGTCCCGAACTTTGCCTTTCTGCGATGAAGCACAAGCGCATCCAATTTCCCCTCAGACTAGACCCTGCTCCTCCCGGTGTTCTTCCGTTTCTCTCCAAGGACAACTTGGTTCTCTGTTCCCTACTTTTCTCTGTCCACTGGTCCTTCTTTGTTTCTTCTTATCTCAAACTCTCCTCTTTTAGATTAGGAAGGAAGCCAGGTATCTGAGGATAGAAAAAGGCTTAGCATACTACAACCCGAGCTCGGAGCCTTATTAATGGGCTGGTTCTTTAAGCTTGGTCCTCGTTTCCTAGTCTGACCTACTTCCTGCTTTCCCTCCACACACAAGCAAAGCAGATGGAAGCATCCTCAGTCTCTGAGCATAGTGGCTTTTTTTCTGTGATTCCTGTTTCCCCTCACACTGCTCCTTCGTCCTGGGTTTCTCTCTACACTTCTAGCAAACAGATACGAAGACCTCAAGATCCCATGCAGATACTACATTCCCACAAAACCTTCTTGAACGCTTTTTTTTTTCCTTTCTGGGTGCTGCAGGTCCCAGGGCACGCTTCCTTCAGATCCCTGGTCGCTCTGCTCTCTGAGAAGTGTGTCAGTGAGGTTATTGCTTACACAGCCCCAGCACTTAGCTACACGGACAGTTCTTAGTCCATGGTTATATGAGAAAAACTTTTGCTATTTAAAAATTCCAACAGTGAAACTTACGTTCTTAAGAAATACGGGTATAAAGTATAAATGAGCTCAGGTGACGTGCTAGGTAGGGAGGACCATTTTGGGGATGATGGCTTTCTAAGTTATTCAGATCCTATCGGAAGAGACAAGTTTCTTTAGCTACTCTCTTTTCTGACCTATTTCAAGCTGTGCCGTCCGCATGGCCCAAGGCAGGGTCACCGGTGCATTAATGCTCTACCGTGCTAATTACTCTCTGGTCACTCCCCATACTGGGAAGGGCATCCTCTGTCAGGGCAGAGGAGAGAAAGCCAATGAGCCTCTGGGGGAAAACAGCTCCACAAGAGCTGTATTGATCTCCAAAATGAATTCCTATAACAGGTCTCCTAGTGACCTGGATGTTTGTTAACAGAATCAGTGCTTCTGTTATTCCATTAGGTTTGCAGAATGAACTCTCTAATGGTGGATGAGAGATGGTTTGTGCCAGGGACAGAGTAGTCATGGCACCGGGGAGGAACACAGCTGTTCTGCTGAGAAGACACAGGGGAGGGATAAGAAGCCGCCCTCCGATAAGGTTCTATACTCTCAGTTGACTTTCTGGCTTCCCCTTGCTCTGTCTACGTCTTCATTCCTCAGGACCTAGTTTGTAGGATCCCGGGTTTTCCCCCTGCTCCTTGAGGTGCAAATTGCAAGGACAGTTTGGTCTGCCAGCTAAAAGCTTCCTGCTAGTTTCTGTTATCTGTGCTGCAGCCTGGTGATTTAGCTGAAGGACCCTGTTTTACTCTTGGTATGGTAATTTCCCACCTGCCCAGAAGAACACAGCGCCAAGTCTCCTCTCCACTGTCTGTCGCTGCTTCCCCTGCCTGGGTAGAAATTCTCACACAGAGCCAGGCTCTTTGCGCTGTCTGGCTGGGAGGGTATCCCTCTTCTGGGGCAAAGGTATATTAACCTTGCAGAAAGCATTCGGCTCCTGACAAATGACCCAGGTCTCTTTGTGTGTGTGTGTGTCTTTTGTTTAATCCCCAGGCCCTTGCCCCAAGCTCATGGCCCGCACGGAAGCACGTGAACCGTGCCGGGAGGGTGGTGCAGATTCGGTTTCCCACACTAGTTCTAGACCGTCCTGTGACTTCCCTCTGACCCTTCCCCTGGAGGAATACTGCCTGTTACCAGGCTTACATTCCACCCAAGCGATGGCAGCTCTCACACTTCATCTCCAGCTCGGGTCGTCCTGGCTCCCTCCTGTACACACCCCCTACCTCCTATGTCCGGTCAGCTGGTTGAGATGAGCAACCTAAGCCAATCTCCTCCCAGTCCAGTGCTTCCTGTCTCAGGGAAACACATCAACACCTTTTCCATCAATCAGTCGGCCAAGCCAGAAGCTCGTCATCTGTGACGCTGCCCTGCGCCTCCGCCATTTTGTTGGCCTGGCGCTGCCCCACTCGGCAATGGCGTCTTCTCCTTATGATGACTACAGAGCTCTGTCTCCTCTGAATACTATTTTCTTGTTTATCTGTTCAACCGCATTTCTTACTGATGCTTCCTGCACTCCAGAGGATTTCCAGGAACATGCCAGTCTCCCCCTCATCACTGGGCTCCTTCCGCATTAGACTGAAATTCAGTGAAGCCAGAGATCCCAACCCTTTCCTCATAGCCGTGGCCTTGGGTCATGCCTCCTGAATCATGTGACTTAATATTTGTTGGCCAAACAAATAAGACACAAAGGATAATGAAGCGCTACTTCTTCAGCCACAGTTGCTGACTTCTCATTGCCTTCAGAATAAAGGTGCCTCGGTGTGACAATGAAGGGTGTTTTGTAATAACCTGTATCCTTTTATCTTGTCGCCCGGTGCCTCCCTCCCTCCTGCAATGAATGATTGGTCCATATGCACAAATCAAGGGAACGATCATCTTTGCCCCCGCAGCCCCTCTGCCTTCAGTGCAGACTGCAGTCAGTCTGTGACTCAGTGCGTTCATTTGCAGAGTTATTTTGCCTCTCAGAGTCACAGGGAATTGGAAGACATCTTACCTTTATTTACTTATCTTACTCATTTAATTGTGTTTGTGTCGGGGGCTGGATATGTATACCACAGAGCATATGTGCCCACATACAGAGGATCTCTACATAGTGAGATAAAACCAGAACAGAACACAAATAAAACATCTCTGAATTATGTGGCTATCTCCTGGCGCCTGGCTCTTTGGGAACTGGCTTTCCTTCTGCCGTGTGGACCCAGGGGCGGAGTAGGGTGTAGTGGTGAGATCAGGCTGTCAGACTTGGCATCGAGTGCCTTTACCTTCTCAACCTTCCCACAGGCCTGAGACAGTCTTGACAGTGGGGTACACGGGATCTCACATGCATGCTCCAATTGTTTCTATCTCCAGCACTGTAACCGCCTGGGTGCATTCAATACATATTTATTGAATGAATGTACTGAATAAATAAAAAGATTTTCCGTAGCACACAAATCCAAATGTGTCTGTTCCCTGTGGTCAAGATCTGTATTTTATGTGTTAATAAGATGGAACAGAGAGTTGGGATGAGCGGGTCCTCTATGAGACCGCTAACGTTTCCATGTCAGGTCTGTAGCTCTAGAAAAGCTGTTAAAGCTGGCTCACACCAACCCTGCAACTCCAAAAGAGCTCTGCCTGGCCTGACATTGTAGTTCATACCTGTAACAGCCCTGCGGAGCCCTGGGCAGGGGGCTCATACCTGTGACAGCCCTGCGGAGCCCGGGGCAGGGGGAGTACTGCAAGTCTGAGGGGAGCCTGCAGTACATGAGTTCCAGTGAGATCCTGTCTTCAATACGAAACAAAGCATCAGTAAGAGATCTCTGCCTTGGGGTTGTGGAGCTGGCTCGGGGGTTACGAGCACTTGCTGTTCTAGTCGAGGACTGGGATTTGGCTCACAACTGTTCCTGGCTTTAGTTCCAGGGGATCTGACACCTTTGTCTGGTCTCCTTGGGCATCAGGCACTCACAGTGTGCACATAAATTTGTCCCCAACTATATCTTAATATTTGTCCTTTATACTCATGGATAAGTATAGTCCTGATCCCTCATCAAGGAAATTTCTCTTTGCCACAGATGGAGACTCTCATAGACAACCACAACCAATCAAAATGCAGAGTTTTGGAGTCTGGTCTCAAGGGCTAGAAATACAATACAAATCCTGCACCCAAGTCTTAGGGATCACTGCAGAAGAGGGGCTGGAGATGTAAGAACCAAAGGAACAGGGAGTTTGGTGCAAAATTACCTCCTAGGGATGTCAGAATCTACATTTATTAAGTCTCAGCAACATGATTGTTTAAACAGGAGCTGAACAAGAAAAACAATAGGCATGCTAACATGGGTAGGGTATGGGCAGAGCCAGGAAGGCTTCAAACCTACAAAAAGAGTCACAGGCAACTAAGGAATGCTAGAACTAGAGAAGTCTTCCACAAGGAAGAGCACACCAACTGGTTACCCAATACCAAATGGTCTTTGAAAACATAAAGGCGTCACTCAGACTGAGAAGGTTCTTTTTATGCATTTAGGAATCAAGATAAATATATATGCAACACCAATTAATGAAGAAAAGAGACCATGGATCTGAAAGAGAGCAAGGAGGGAGTCATGGGGGGAATTTGAAGGAAAGAAAGAGAAGGGAGGGAAGACAGAACTATGTTATAATCTCAAAAAGAAGACAACAATAAAGCATGCATGTGCGTGCACATGTGCGTACACACATGCGCACACACCAACACCCAACAACACACCAACACACCCATAGCATGACCTCAAAAAAAAAATCAAATGAATCCCAAGTTTCATACAAGGTCTTCTTGCTTGCTTTAGAAATAATAATAATGATAATTAATAAAACCTGAATTGAGCTTACTGGAATAAGGTATTCTCATTCTGGACACAGAAGGCACACTATCCCCGGAGCCCTTTGCTCACGGAAAGCAGCCTATGCACCATCCAGAACATGCTGGGGGATGCTGTCCTCACTCTCCCCATCGGCTGCAGGCAGTGTATCAGCCAGCTTGGGCTTTGCTCGAACTCTGTATT